TACCAAAACTTAAGGAATGCAGCAAAGATGATGCTGAGAGAAATTTATAGCTATAAATGCTTACTTTTATATAAAAGATCTGAAATCAACAACCTAACCTTATACATCAATGAAGTAGCAAAGGAAGAACAAATGCAACACAAAGATAGCAGGAGAAAGGAAATAAGATTAGAGAAAAGGCAAATGACACACAGAATAGAAAAGTACTAGAGAAAACCTCAAAATTAACAGTTCTTACTTTAAAAGGATAAAAAAAAAAAAACTGAAAAAATCTTAGCTAACAGAAACCTTGACTAAGAGAAAGACTCCAATAACTAAAATCAGAAATGGGAGAGGAGACACTATAACCGATCCAATACAAACAAAAAAGATCTTAAGAGAACAGTATTGAACAACTGCCCAACAACAAATATGATGACCAAAAAGAAATGAATAATTTTCTAGAAACACACAAATTACCAAGACTTAAGCACAAACAGAAATAGAAACAATAAAGTAAAAAAAACAAGGGAGATTGAATAAGTCCTCAAGAGGCTCTCAATAAAAAAAAGTGCTGAACCAGATGCCTTCAGTGGAGAATTTTACCAATCATTTCAAGAAGAATTAAAACCAATCCTCCTGGGCCGGCCTGTGGCTCACTCGGGAGAGTGCGGTGCTGATAACACCAAGGCCACGGGTTCGGATCCCATATAGGGATGGCCGGTTCGCTCACTGGCTGAGCGTGGTGCTGACAACACCAAGTCAAGGGTTAAGATCCCCTTACCAGTCATCTTTTTTAAAAAAATAAATAAAAATAAATAAATAAATAAATAAAACCAATCCTTCTCGGGCCGACCCCGTGGCACACTCGGAGAGTGTGGCGCTTGGGAGCACAGCAGCGCTCCCGCTGCTGGTTCGGATCCTATATGGGATGGCCGGTGCGCTCACTGGCTGAGTGCGGTGCGAGCGACACCAAGCCAAGGGTTGCAATCCCCTTACCGGTCACAACAAAGACAAAAAACAAAAACAAAAACAAAAACCAATCCTCCTCAAAACTCCCCAAAATACTGAGGAGGAGGGAACATTTTCACTCTCACAAAGACAAAAAACAAAAACAAAAACAAAAACCAATCCTCCTCAAAACTCCCCAAAATACTGAGGAGGAGGGAACATTTTCACTCTCATTTTAAGAGGCAGCATTAACCTTGAGAGCAAAGCCAGACAAAAATACAAGAAAACTAACAGACAAATATCCCAGATGAATATGACCCAAGACACAACAAAATACTGGCAAACAGAATTCAAAAGCAAATTTAAGAGGATCATACACCATGGTCACATGGGATTTATTCCTGGAATGCAAGAACTGTACAACTTACAAGTATTCAATCCATGCAGTACTCCACACTAAGGGAATGAAGAAAGAAAAACAATCTCAGGTGAAACAAAAAAAAGCGTTTTAAAAAAGTCAACACACTAAGGAATCTAACTTATAATAATGGCTATATATAAAAAGTGCACAACTAACATCACATTCAATGTTGAAAGAGTAAAGCTTTTTTTCTAACACCAACAACACAAGATCAACAGGACAGCATCAGGAGGTGGGTTAACAGGGACCAGGTGAACTTTACAGGAAATTCAGATGGAAAGAAAGAGAACAAAACATTTTTCATGTGTTAACTCAAGAATAAAATTTCCAGAACTTCAAAATTATGCAGAAAATACAGGTGATATAGACAAAAGTGGAGAAGTCCATGAAGTACAAGAAATGGGCTAAGTTCCCTGTAAAATACTATGAGATATTGAAACATTGAGTATATCAAGATGGACATGATGAATGTAGACAGGGGAATAATTATTAGAACATAGCAATGGTTCCAAGAAAGAAAAAGTAAAATTTAAACAAAACCCAACAAATCATGTTCAGAAACTGAAAACAGTTGCTTATTCTAGTACTCTGGAGTAGGCTCTGAGGAGAGGGAGATCCTCTTGCAGATGTGTTTTATAATAACTGTTGAATGGGGTGTTTGGGTATGGGTTCCAGACAGATGCAGTAGTGTAATCTCTGTGCAGGTACTTGGGCCAAATTCAGTGTTGGAATTACGTGTGAGTATCCCTATGGCCTAGTTCCTGGGGCACCTAATAATTCCTTGCTGAGGTTGGTGATATTATGTTGGTTCACCAGGACTTGGGCAAGCTCTTGAATTCTTGGGGGAAGTGCCTCGGAACCCTGTCGCTCTTTGGCTATGGTAGGTGCCCTTTGGCAGGCCTGCTGGCACTCTAGCTAGCTCCCCATGACCTTGATAGGGGCACTGGGGTATCCTGGTACTCCTCAATTTGAACGGATGACCCTGGGTGGGTTTTCTTTTTTCTTTCCTACAGGCAGAGGACCTTCCTGCAACCTTGCTTCCCCTGGTTGGGGGATCGGTTGGCAGTGATAGGGAATTTTCTTCCTTGCTCTATTTGAGTGTCCTGGGTTTCTCTATTCTTGGAGGGTTCTGAAATGTCCACCAACAGATGACTAGATAAAGAAATTGTGTTATATATACACAGTGGAATACTACTCAGCCATAACAAAGAATGAAATTCTGTGATTTGCTGCAACATGGATGATCCTGGAGAAAATTATGTTAAGTGAAATGACCCAGACACAAAAAGAGAAATACCTGCATGTCCTCACTCATAAGTGGCTGCTAAGAAAGAAGGAAGGAAGGAAGGAAGGAGGCAGGGAGGGAGGAAGGAAGGAAAGATCACAATAATATGTTGATCTTTCAGAGGAGAGAACAAATCTATGGTTACCAGAGATAGGAGAGGGAGATGGGGGTGGAGAAAGACTGGGTAAGGGGCATAAAGAATAATTATGATTTGTAATAATGAACATGCTAATAATATTGATTTGATCAACACATGTTGTACACACGTGATGGTAGTCAACATTGTACCCCCTAAATTATGTATAATCAATCATGCTTTAATTTAAAAAAAATTGAAAACATAATATAGAAAATGTAATTTCCCTTAAATAACAAATTATGGCAAGTCCATTTAATGGTACTTCTGGAATTAAGGCAGTAAGTTAATAAAAAAAGTACATTCTGAGATATCAAAAATTCCCAGTTTAAACAGTGTAATAAATTTAATTGACAAAAGCGTACTTTAATAGTAGGTGCTAAGTTAAGTGAAACAAAAATAAAAGGAATAATTAAGACTTTTAAAAAAAAGTTCTGAAGTTTGTGCAATTCTAAAGAAACTCCTGCTGAGCCATAACCTCTGCACTAAAGAAGGAAATCTTCTAAAATATATAAATCAATAGCCATTTCCTAATAACAATTTCACACACTGCAGATATAAAACAAAGAATACTAAGAGTATCATAAAAAATATGGAACTGATGATTAAATAAATAAAAAACGAGTTCATTTATAATACATGGAAATGTACAAGATGAAATCTGCAGGGGCTTAAACAAATGATGGTAGACTTAAAAAGGGAGGCATCATTCAGGTGAGATATGCTCCCCATGTAGAAACGGTGATCAAATAGTGGAACTGTGTGTCCACTGTCTACAGTTCTGAAGAACTATATTCTGAATTCAGAAGATTCAACCTAATCCTATGTTACACGCAAGTGATGAGAGACCTAGTTAATTAGTGGGGACACACACACACACACACACACACCTCTGCCCTCAGTTTCTGACACAGAGCCCCTAAAACCCTTGTAGATAGGGGCACTAGGAGAATTTTATTTTTATTTTAACATTTGGTCTTTGACTCTGTCCTGATACAGAGCCCCTAATCCCTTGAAATTTCCTGGGTGACAGAAGCATCTTCTGTTCTAACAAGCCAACTTTTGGTGGGCTCCTGGGGAAAACCAGACCATGATTAGAAGCTTGGAATGTCCAGCTCCCTCTCCCCATCCTCCAGGAAGGAGAGATGAACTGGACACTGAGTTAACAATCTATGATGACTACAAGATGAAGGCTCCATAAAAATGCCAAAATTAAGTTCAGAGAGCTTCTGGATTTCTGAACACATGGAGGGTGGCATGCCCAAAATGGATGTGAAAGCTCCATGCCTGTCCCCACATACCTTGCCCTATGCATCTCATTTTGCTATTCACCTGTATCATTTCAAATATCCTTTATAATAAACTGGTAAAGGCAGTATTTCCCTGAGTTCTGTGTATCCATCCCATCAAGTTAATTAAACCTGAGGAGGGGTCAGTGGGCCATAAGTATAGGTGACAACCTGCTACTTGCAATTGGTGTCTTAAGTGGGGGGCACTCTTGTGAAATTGAGACCTTAACCTGTAGGACTTAACTCTAACTGCAAGTAGAGAGTATCAGAATTGAATTGAATTATAGGACGCTTAGTTGATGTGGACCAGAGAATTGGCTGTTGGTGCAAAGAAATTCTCACATATTATGGCGACCAGAAGTGAAGCATTCTCACATGCCTTGAGGGGTATGTGAGAGTAGGGAGACCACTTTGTCTTTTTCCTGTCTCAAACACATCTGAATAAGTAGAGAAAGTATGAAACAGTTCCATGCAGTTTCTGGGACACTAGATGGAAAGTAAGAAACACTGTTTTCCTATCTTTCAAGTACAGGAAACAGGAACCTGAATAGCTAAAGGCATCAGGACTATAGAGGCCTCAGCACTGATCTATACAGAGAACTGAGCATCAGATGGAATCAGAGACACAAGAAGACATCACAAGGGACAGAGACCCCTTTCAGTCTTCCTCATGCCACACAGTCAAGGGATGATACAGTTCAAAGAAGCCAGACAACAGAGTGCTGTCTATCATAATAAAGACTTTGCCTTTGTTTTTGTTTGAGCTGCAGCACCACCAGAGAGCAAACAGATAAACTATTACATGTCTGAAGAATAGAGTAATAAGTGGAGAAAAAAAAATTCCTTTCAAGCTCACAGGAAATAAACTTTGTTGTGTCATAGAACTCTCCCATTAGCAGAGTTTCTCAATTATTTAATGGTGCACATCTGAGCTCTTACCTGTGTTCTCACCTTTGATACATTCCCACCCTTTAGGGTTTTTTGCTATTGTCACTTGGTTCTGCATCGTCCAAGGCTCTATCCCGTGCTCCAACATGAAAATCATATTCAGGTCAGGAAGAGAGTTTCCTGCTTACAAGAGGGAAGAAACATGCTATGCAATGGCATTCCTAGAATCCCAACTGTTGTTTAAGTGAGAAGGACATTATACATAGATCTACAAAAATATTTCAGAAATCCAACTACTAAATGACTCCTTCTGAATGCTTAGGAAACACTGTAATATGCAGAACCACTAAGTTAAAAGCACAGGGGCAGAAAACAAGGAATTGGATACTTTAAAAGTCTGCCATAAGGTTTGCTGCATACTGAAGCTCTGGAACCACTCAATGATATATAATGAAGGGGCATAACATGAAGAAAGGTGATGGTTAAAATTGAGATGTAGCACTGTGAATCTTTTCATTATTGGGTCAACCCAGGTTCAATCTCAAACAATGCTCAGGGTCCTAAAAGGCACACAAGGGGAAATTTAAAGATACACAAGTGCAGACCCCAACTTCTGGAAGGAAGTTATCCTCACCCAGGGAGACCAGGTTCCTGTAGTTCTCCAACATCACGTCCCTGTATAAAGCCCTCTGAGCAGGGTCCAGGCATTTCCACTCCTCTTGAGAGAATTCTATGGCCACATCCCTGAATGTCAACTGTCCCTAAAATGAAAAACACATTTCACCAAAGGCAGATGGGGAAAGTTTTTATCTTAACACAAAAGAAGAGAGAGTTGTAAGGATTGATTTGATTGTAGTGAGTGTTATGACAGATTCGCGTTAGGTATTCTTGAGCACATTACCATCTCCCTAATTGTGTTTTATTATACTCTTCCATAAGAGGTTATGATATCCTCTTAATCAGTGTGGATTTCTCATTTTTGTGAATATAAGAAACATACAAATAAAAAAATCAACATATGGTTATCTACAGAGAAGTGCTAGGTGTTATGTTTGACTAACCAAGTAATATTTAGTGTCTAAATGAGGGAGAATATGTGTGAAGTCTTCAGAGATGACAACATCCACAGTGGCTTTAAAGAAATAAGAAGAATCTAAAAACTGTGATGATGATAGCAATAGTAATGACTGAAGTTTTTGAACACTTTCCATGGGCTAAGTATTATTCTAAATGCTTTACAAGTAATAACTCATATAACATAGCAGCCCACGGGACCAAAATCTGTTCCCATCTTCCTACGGGACAACTGTGTCACAGACACTCTAAGAAACTTGCCTCAGGTCAAACAGTTAATGGCAGAGCCAGCACCTGAACCCAGGTATCTGGAAATCAGAGTGAACCTAAAGAATAAAACAATTAAGTAACAGATACAAAAAGTTGATAGGTGGTTATCTAATGAAGAAAACTTGAAACAAGTTCAAGAATAACAACATGGAATTGTATGAAAGGTCTTTGTAAACTCACCTACACATAGATGCACGTAATACATTACTATTCTTACTATTATCTCATTAATGTGAGTGTAGGACAAATTGAAGGCCTTAAAAAGTATTTAACATATAATTTCAACTGTTAAAAATATAAATCTTATTTCAAATAATGTGTCTGATAAAAACCATGGGCTTGTACATCCATGCACTCATGCACATACATCACATATACACATTTTAACACTTACTAAATGAAATAAGAGGCATTGTCTCTCGATGACATATATTTAAAGGATTTTTTTCATCATCTTTTTTGCTTATGTGCATTTCAGCATATTTGGGACAATTAAAATGTATAAACTGTATTTAATTTAGTTTATGAACATTATTGTATAATAAGGTATTAAAAAATGGTACAAGGAGCTGAGAGACAGCCCCCTCTGCCCAGATGCAGGCAACAAGCAGAGTACACCCAGACTCTTAAGGCAGGAGCTGAGGGCAGTATCCCCAGGAGCACACTGAGAACACCACTTCTGCATGGTGGTCCACCCACAGTCACCACCACAGCCAAGGCTGCTGCAAAAGCAGTAGATACCACAGTGATAGCCATAACTACCATGCAGGTGGCCCGACAGACACTCAACTATATTGACACAAGGAAAGTCACGAAAAGAGACCAGAAAAAGAAGAGAATGTCTCTTTCCTCAAAGCCCATTCCAGAGTAACAGAAGAAACAACCGCTCTACCAGATGACCAGACATCAACATAGAGATACTAGAAATACAAAAACCCAAGAAAATATGACACCACCAAAAGAACATAGTCATTCTCAAACACAAGACCCTATAGAGCAGGAAACCTTTGAAATTACTGAAAAGGAATTCCAAGCAACAATCTTAAGGAAACTCACTGAGACAGGAGAAGACTCAGACAACACAATGAAACAAGAAAAAAAAATACAGGACACGAAGGAGGAAATTTACAAAGAGATTAATACCTTAAAAAAGAATGTAGCATTTTAATATAGGTGTTTAAAAGTATAAATTTTCCTCTAAGCACTGTATGAGCCCTGCATCCTATAAAGTTTAATATGTTGTGCTTTGATTTTTATCTCAAAGTACTCTCTAATTTACCTGTGATATTTCTTTTCACCCATTGTTTATTTAGGAGAGTGTTGTTTAATTTCTAGTCATCTGTGAATTTTCTAAATTTCCTTCTCTTATTGTGGTCAGAGAACATTTTTTTTTTTTAAAAAGGACCACCTCAAAAAATAATAAAAAATGTAATAATTGTTGTTATAATGATTACAAAAATAATATTTTAGAAAGCTCTAAACACATTTCATACACATTATTGGTGTTAGAAATTTTCACTTAAAGATGGCATGTTAACACATATGCTAACTTTGGCTCTACTGAAAAGCTGAACAAACAATAAAATGTTCAACAATAAAATGTCAACATATTTACTGAGTTCCTATTTATTTATTTTATTTATTTATTTTTTTCCTTTTTGTCGTGTCCGGCAACGGATCGCAACCCTCAGTGTTGCGCCCGTACCGGACCGGGACCGGCAACGGGATCGCAACCCTCGGTGTTGCTCCCACACCTCACTCAACCAGTGAGCGGGAACCAGTCTGTATGTGGGATCCGAACCCTCGGTGGGAGCACCACCGCACTCCCAAGCGGCGCACTGTAGCAGTGCGCCACCGGGCCAGCCCCTGAGTTCCTATTTAGGATAAGGCACAGTGCTAGGTTCTATGGAGGGACTCAAAGACGGGTAAAACAGTTCTGGATCTTAAGAAAGTACTAACAACTATATAAATTAATATAGCATAACCTAAAATATGATTAAGTAATACAGGTTTTTAGAAACAAATTTTTCCCAGTTAAAAGTCTGGACATAGCTTTGCAAAGAAAGCCTCACAAAGAAATGGCCTTACAGTATAGATTGAGATAAAATTTATACTCCAAATAAAAGCATCTATATAAAAGTTAAAAAAATAAAAGTACAACATTTAAAAAAAATAGAAACTTGAATTCCAATCTTCAAAAACACAGATACCATTATATACATTAAGATTTAGATATTTAGGCATTAACAAAAGCCCAATAAAATTTAGTTTATTCTACTAACAAAATCATGATACATGATTAGAAAATTTATTAGTATCATATATTACCTTAACATATTAAGGTCTAAAAAAATATATATTTCAGTGGTACATACTTTAAGAAATTATTAGATAATTAAAAATCATTTCAAAAAGCAAATTAAAAAGAAAAACTGATATTAAGCAAGAACATTTCACCAAATATCATGATCAGCAGTAAATACTGGACAAATTTCCTCTAAATTAAGGCAGAGAAAAGGGGGCTGGCCAGGGCTGCAGCCAATCACAACTGCGCAGAATGCCTGAGCAGAAAGCAGAGGCAGAGGGAAAAGTTGGAAAATAAATGGTGGAGGGAAAGAGAGTGCTGTGCATTGATTGAATTGTGTCCCCCGAGGTTCATGTATTGGAAGCTTAATTCCCACTGTAACTATTGAGCGTGGAAAATCCTACTATGGTAATTGAAAAGTGGGGCCTTAAAAAAGTTATTAGATTGTAGGACTGTGCAGTAGTGAATGGACTAATAATGGGGGTCAGAGGTGTGGTTCTCAGGGCTTTAAAAGCAGAGTGAATGAGAAGGTTGATTTCTTGCTCTCTCTGCTCCACCATTTTCTGCCATGTGAGACCCCCCCCACACACACTGCTGTAGAGCCACCACCACCACATCACTAGATGTGTTCCCTGGACTTTGGACTTCCTAGTCTCTGAAACTGTAAGCAATAACTTTCATTTTCTTTATAAATTACCCAGTTCCATGTATTTTGTTCTAAGCAACAAGACAAGGACTAATACAAAGAGTGAAGAGCTGGATTTGTTAAAACTAAAAGATGACATGATTGCAACCTAGGAAAAAGGTTTGTATATAGGACTAATAGTAATATAATGAAAGCAATCTTCCTTTTATTTTTTAGAAAAGAATTTTTTTTGGCAGCTGGCCAGTATGGGGATCCAAACCCATGACCTAGGTGTTATAAGGCTGCACTCTAACCAACTGAGCTAACCAGCCAGCCCCCAATCTTCCTTCTTTAATAGTACTCACTGGAAGATAACACACACAGGCACTCGGAAAACTCACCATTTCTCTTGGAAAACATACCATGGCACCTAATTAAAAGGTATTTTTACACTTATGTAAGAAATAATACAACTGTACTGAAGAAGCGATGTCAGCAAGACAGAGAAACAGGAAGCCACAAACCGTACTTCCCCCAGGGAGACATGTATTCAACCACAATACACAAACCAACTGTCTTTGTGAAAAACCCATAAACCATCTATGAGGGTACTGCACCCCCAGAGAACTGGGAAGCCAACCCCATGGAAGCCCAGTAGGAAAATTTGTGGGACCCACTCACCAGAGCCTCTGCCCTGGCATGACACGATGTCCCAGTGAAAAAATTACCAACTAACAGTTCTCCAGGAGAAGGGAAAATATGGAAACATCTACTCAACATTCTGACTTTTCAGGGGACAGGATAAGGGACTGGTTTCTGTCTTGCTTGAACAAAAACACTGAAAGTACCAGGGTGCCAGGTGCAGTAGGGGCCAAGGAAACAGGATCAACATAAAGCACCATCTGCAGTAACACAGGCAGACACTAGGTGGAGATCCACACCACAGCTTACAATGGCACCAGAGAGGATGTAGGTTCACAGTCGGAAACCAGGGAAGCTCCTGAGTAGAAACTGGCAAACCTCGTCAGTCAGGAGATTACAAACAAAAGCCTATAAGTGACACATCCTCAGAAAAGGTTTGACAGGTCTCCAGAATCTCTACCTGTCTGACTGGAGAGTGTCCTCCCTGAGTGAAGCCAGACACCAACAACTGGGAGAGCTGGGTGACTTTTGAAATGCTCAAGTCACAACAAAAGATAACAAGACATGCAAAGAGATAAGGAAACATGGCCCATACAAAGAAATAAATAGCTACAAAGTGACACTAAAGGAAGAGAGATATATGAATTATCAGACAAAAAAATTTAAAATCAGAGTCATAAGGATGCTCAATAATTTAAAAAAAGCACATATAGACAACTTCAGGGAATCAAGAAAACAATGCTATTGAACACTGAGCTTGATTTCATATATTAAAATGGATAATGGAATAAACAATCCTCTATAAATGATGTCTGTGGCTGAACTGTCCATTCCATTCCCAATACATTAAAATATGGAGTAAAAATACAGTGACCCACTCTAATTTATTATAAAACCAGGCAAAACAGACTTTTCCTTATTCATCTTCTTTTCCAATCTTTAGCAGGCATTTGTGCACATCAGTGCATGACTTCCACGTGCAGCTTCTCTAATCCTGGTCAACAGAGGGCTGATGGTGCATCCAGATGTGGTCCCTAAACACGCCCTGCTGCCCAACAGCACTGGCCCACACCCTGTCTCCAATCTATGCTTGGGAGTGAAACCCTTTCAGGACCATGCCTCATAGAGCCTCTTCACAAGTTCATGTCACTGGGTCACTGTAAGATGGAACCTAAGTGGAGATGAGAGGGACTGAGGGAAGGCATGGGTGAGTGTGAGCAAACATGTCAGGCAGGAAACTTCAGAGTCAGAGAAGATCAGCAACTTTAATGCCCACATGTCAGAAAAGGAGACACAGAACAATCAACTGAGAAGATCACGTTACCTGAGTGAGAGCCATTCCTGACTCCTTTTCTTTTCCCTTGCTCCTCTTCTGGCCTTCTTCCTCATGTGACATGAGTCTTTACAAATCAATCCTGAATGTTAAACATATGCCGTTTAACGATTAGAATCAACACACCCCCCTCCTGTGCCACAACCACACACACAAGGAAGACCCTGTCATGTGGAAAAACGGTTGTCTGCTGCCAACTGCACCAGGAAGGGAAGCAGCGACAATAAACTCCTATAAGGAAGACCAAGAAGTGAGTTTTTGACCCCTTTCTTCAGTACTCGTTCCTCTCCTGGTGAAGCCCACATACACATACACTGCAGCAGTGGGGAGCTGGACTAGACTGAGCTCACCTTCAGGGCACAGATCCGGTCCTGACCCAACCCCATGCACAGCACAGTCCCCCTCACCCCTTGATGAATCCTCAGCTCTCAAAAATAGGGGACACAGGGCCTTGGTGTTATGCTGGATACAGATTAGAATAATCTGGTCACTGTAAATATTATTGAGGCTAGGCTCCAACCTGACTATGTCAATGGGAATGTCTGCTAAGAGGGAGTAAGAGATGTATCTGCAAAATGCCTCAGTACTCTAACGTGAAGCCAGGGTTTAGCACCACTCAGAGGGACAAGCTCAGACACCTCCCACCTTCTGGCCCTGCTCTCCCCTTGGGGCCTTGTTGTCACCAGTATCCAGACAGAGGGAGGCAAAGCAGGAGAAAAAAACACAAAGAGCAGGCAATATGGATCAGAGGTGGGGGTGAGGGTGTTCCTGATTCGAATGTTAAGGTGGGGGATGTCACAGAACAAAGATCTGAGGAAGGAAAGGTGTTCGCCACCTGCAGCCAAGGGGCCAGACAGTTTTAGGAAGAGGGACAGCCCCAGTAAAGACCGTGAGGCAGGAGCAAACTTAGCCCCAGGAAAAGGGCAGAGGCCTGTGTGGCTGGAGCAGAGTGAGGAGGACACAAGCAGGTGATGAGGTCAGAGGCACTGCGGGAAGCATGTCAGGCCGGGCCATGGTCTCCAAACCTTTCCCTCCCCCATGTCAAGAGAATTTTGGAAGCCAAGTATTTCCTCACTGCTGTTAAGTAAACAGGTTAATTTTTTCTTTACCTTATAAATTAAAAACACCTTATAAACAATGTATATTTTAAATATATGTCGAGACGTGCAGCTCAGCCTCAGCAAACAGAGGGTCACCCTTACCTGAGATGTGAAGGACTGCAGGGGGGATGTGTTTGGAGGAAATCAGAAGTCACTTTTGGACATACACAGATGGAGATGCCTGTAAGATGTCCCAGCAGAGTTTAGGGCAAAACTGGACATAGGATTCTAGAATTCAAGAGGGAGGTCTCCAGGGGAAATGGAGGCATACAGGTGGTGTTTAAAGCCATGAGAGGAGATAATATGGAAAGGCGGTGGGTGTAGACAGCGACGAGAAGAAGCTTAAGGACTATGCCAAGGGACACTCCCACATTCAGAAAACAGGGTTCAGGAGACAGCAGAAGAGGAACCTGGCAAGATATTATGGAGAAGACAAGAAAATTAAAACAAATAGATTTTTAAAGGTTAGTGGAATGTCCTCAAAGCCAAGAAAAAAAAAGAGTGATCAACTGTGCAACATGCTGCTGACAGAGAAAAAAAGAATAGAACAAGAAACAAAATATTGGATTTAGAAATGAGAGGCCACTGATGACTCTGAAAAAGGATCAGGGAAAGCTAGATTTAAAAGTGAGAACTGAAGGCAAGAAATGAAGCTTTTGGTGTACTGTGATGTTAAATGGAGCATCGAAGAGGGGTAGTTACTACAGGGGGAGATGTGGTTAACAGAGTACTTTTGTTTTAAAGATGAAAGAACGGAAGAAAAAAAGGCGTTATTATGCACGTGTGTTTTAATGGACAATACCTCCATCTGGGTACACTGATCAAAATAATTGGGTAGGAGCAAAAATTGATGGCACACTGGAGGAAGGATGTCATACCGTTCTGAGACTGTGAGTGGGGTGGCAAGTGGTGCACAGTTGCAGAGTCAGCAACAGCCAGGATCAGGGAGAGGCCGTTCCCAGTCAGTACAGACTAGAGAACACAGGCCTTGAGAAAGGTGGGTGGGGCAGTTGTAGGTCTCTTCTCTTTACTGTTGATAGGAAAAAACTAAACTGTTTACACTACTCTCACACTCAACACAGAATACTTCACCTCTAGTCACCAAAATGTGTGTGGTTTTTCCCACCAGTTCTCCCAGCTGATGTCCTACAATTTAACTCAATTCTAATACTATCTACACCTCGAGTTAGAATCAGATCCCATAAGTTAAGGGCTCAGTCCCACAAGGCTTCACGCCACCTCAGAGGTTAATCACAAGTAGTAGTTTTCACTTATACTTCTGACTAACAAGGTAAAAATCCTGGTTACCACAGCCCCCTCCTCATGTACAAACAATTTGCTAGGACTACTCTTCTATCAGGCTGTTCATCAGTATCCTTCATAATACCCTTTGTAACAAATTGGTAAATCTAAGTAGTGTTTCCCTGAGTTCTGTGAGCCACTCTAAAAAAATAATCAAACCTGAGGAGGAGGTCCTAGAAATCCCTGATTTATAACCAGTCAGTCAGTCGGTCACAGTTCCAACCTGGCACTTGTGGAATCTGATGTGGGATGACACTCTTGTAGGACTGAGCCATCAAACTGTCCAAATAGAAAGTGTCAGAATTGAGTTCAATTATAGGATACCCAGCTGGTGTCTGAAGGAGAGCTGGTTGTTAGTGGGCACAAATCCCTACACATTTTGGTGACCAGGGGTGAAGTATTACATATTGAGTGTTTATTGTTGTAGTAGATTTAAAAGTAGGAAAACCACTTTGGTTTTACTATCTCATACACTTCTCTACACACTACTCTATCCCAGAAAAAGGGAAAAGGGTGACACACAACTCAATAGGTCAAGCCACTGCCCTCTGGCTGAATAAGAATTGCAAATGTAAGCTAGGCTTTGGTGCCAAGAATTATACAAAGCACATACCTTATAGACAGGACTTTTGCAATTCTCATTCTCATCTGTATAATTTTAACAAAGATATTTTAATATTGTTAGATTATAAAGACAGAAATCAATATATTATGACTTAATTATCATATCCAATCAACTCATCACTCATCTTAACCCAGGTCCCCGTCTTTCTCCATTACTATGTGTTCTGCCCCTCCCATTCTGCACACATCTCTCATTCTCACCTTCTCTCTCTAGCTTTTTTTTTTCTTCTCATGTCTTTTCACCCTGGGTTTCTGCTGCTCATTTTATGCCCCTCTCCTCTATTCCACTTCTTCCATCTGTTCTGCCCCATTCTCGAAACTTGTTTCACCTCATGTTGCTCCTTCTCCCAATCTTTTGATTGTCCCCAATCTCCATGTATTTCTGCCACTTTCTTCCCCCATCTCTACTCCCCTTGCTCTCCCTGTTAAATTCTCTCCTCCCTGTTACACTCCCCTCGTCCCCACTCTCTGGTACTCCACATCCCTAGGCTTCCTCCATGCTGTGGCTCTCCCTCTGCTCCCCTTATCACCAGTTGTCCCCTCTTGTCCCAGCACCAGGTTGCTCTGTCTGCTGTAACTGCAAATTGTTTATCCTCTCCTCCCACTCTCTGTCTGAAGGGTCTCCTCTTTTGCCCCCTCCCTATTTTGCTGTCCTTTATCTCTCTAGAGATCGAGCTTTCCTCTAAATTTCTCTAGTTGCTTTTCTCTCCCTGCCACTTCTGGGCTTCTTTCACTCTCATCGTCTCTGCAAAGCCGTCACCTTCCCCTATTTTGCCACCTGTTTATGGGCCTCCCACATTCTTTTTATTTCTTTCTTAGTTTTCCGATTTCCTCTCAGTTGCTCTGTCCTGCTTCCTCCTGATCCCCTTTCCCCACACATTTAGAGGGAGGGAGATGGAATAAGCCGCCCGTCTCTCAGAAGAGCACATTTTCCAGCGGGGTGGAATTTGGGATGGAACAACACTGGATGTCACAAGCCAGGCCCAAGTCACCTCCCACAAGGCGGGGTCGGGAGAAGGTTGACTGCGAAGAGGCCTGGGGAGCAGAAGGGCCCGGCCCAAGGAGGACAAGGGAGGGCGTGGATTAGGAGAGTGGTGGGGTCGGCAGCAGCCCAGCTCCGGGGAGAGGACGCGGCCTCTCCTGAACGGGGGCTGCCGGCGCTGCCCTCCAGGGGCCGAGAAGGGGCGACGGTTGGGGGACCGGAAGGGCGTGAATGCACCTCGGGGGTGAGGACTTCACAAGGCGAGGGGCGGGCGGAGAGATCAGTAAAAGCTTTTAAGCATGAAAGCAGTGCGGAAGGAGGTGTCTACTTCGCCCGAAGTAAGAAAGACCAAGGACAGGACCAGCCTCAGAGATTTTAACACAAAGAGAAGAGACTCCCAGGCTCTCACGGCGACGTGCGAATTTACCTTGGGTGGAAGGGGCGGTGCAGGGATTTTAAGGTCCTTAGCGACCCCCAGACACAGGGTATGGAAGATACTGGGAAACTCACGGGCCCCAGGGTGACCGTCTCTCCACGCGACCTGCTTCCGTGTGTTCAGAAAACTGCGCGCGCAGGGAAAGACCAGGCCTCAGCAGAAACCGCGACAGGGTGGCGGGGCCGGGCGGGGCGGGGCCGGGGCGTGATCGGCAGGGGGCGGGGCGTGGGGGGGCACGCCTGAGCAGAGACCCGGATGAAGTGAGAACAGGGGCGGGGCCTGCGCTTTAATGCGAGTCCCTTCCAAGTCTTCTCGGTTTTCCGGGTTTGGAAAATCCGGCGTGTGTCTGTCATTCTGTGGGATCCTGCCTTTCTCAAGTTAATGTTTCAAACACTTTTAAGGTAAAACGTTAGGGTCGAGTTGGTCACCTGTGTGGGAACTCAAGTTGATTTCCTCCTGACAGGTTGACAACGGTTTAAGTTGAAAGCTGTTTTTGCCAGCGGCTTGGTCGCCATTCCTGCAAGTGAGGCTGAAGCATCTCAGCGGTCTGGAAACTGGGATCTCGGTGGGAGGGGCCGACTTCTGGAGGGATTGAATACAGTTCCCGCTATTCAAGTTCCTGCAATTAAAATTAACTTAAACAATGTAATTAAACAAGCCCTGGAATTGTCTATGAAGGGGGTACAAACTGAAATGTGAAATGCAAACTCTGCCTGGGTGGCATGTGCAACTTCATGCCGACTCCCAAGAGAACGAAATGCAAACTCTGCCTGGGTGGAATGTGCAACTTCATGCCGACTCCCAAGAGAACGTCGTTTTCATTTCTAGTCCCCATTCACTCCAGAGAGGGAGAGTCAACCCTGTGCTCACGTCCAGAGACTTTCATAGGAGGGTCAAGACCTGGGGCGTGAGGGCTAAGGGCCGTGATAAGTTAGGTCATTAACTTTTGCTTTAAAAAAAGCAATAACTTTTAAAAAATGGATATAAATTTTGTTCTTTTCCTTAAATTTTTTATTCTGTCTCACACTCGAGACTAACAAACTTGAAATGTCTTGGAGATAAACTTTGTTGACATAATATGCTTACATTGATAATTTATAATGGAATTTGAAATTCACTTAATGAGCAATATGTATGTAATTAGACAACATACATTTATTTTTAAATTGTAATCTATTTTAAGTCTCTTTGTTTTCTATTTCTGAATATTCTGTCAGGTGTGGATAACAAAGTGTAAAATAGTTTTCCGAAGACATTTGATTTATTTTAATCTAAAGTATAGTTAATTTTGCAGTATTTCTAAAGGCATTTGGTGGGGAGGTTATTTTTTCATATGAACCCTTAAGAAAGTAAAACTAGATTATCTGATTTTATGTAGCCTCCTTTCTTTCCTTCTTTCTTTTTTTTTTTTTTTTTTTTTTAAAAAGATGACCAGTAAGGGGTTCTTAACCCTTGACTTGGTGTTGTCAGCACCGCACTCTCCCAAGTGAGCCACAGGCCGGCCCTTGTAGTCTCATTTCTATTTACAATAATTTTATGGTAATATCTCTTAGTTAACATCTGCTGTGAGGTGTTTTTGTCTCACATCCCTACATGGGGAAGATTTCACCCATTGTGAAGTGGTAATCAATTGAAATAACAGTACATTCATTGTGACTTCACTTGACATTCAAATATTTTTTAACAGTAATATTACTAGATACATTTGAACCTTCATGCTGCTGAGATTTCTTTTTTCCAAAACCCACAATCGTGATGTTAACTTTTCCTGAAGTAATGATTGCTTACTTTCAAGAGGGAAAAGCGTTTCACCATAATTCACAGAACACAGGTTTGTATCCGTTAAACACATGATATATATGCCTGTAGAAAAACACATATTTATATTGTAGCAGTTCCTGTCAGACACTCAGTTCTCTACAGTATTATTTATTAGTTATATTTACCTACCACCACGTGAAAAGTTTTATACCGACACCCCTTTTATCCTGAAAATAGTGTTTGTGATTCTTGTAGGATGGATGAATTTCACAATTATAGTTACAGCGTAATTTAAATATCAGGCTATATTAGTATCAAGATAAAATATCAAATACCACTATGAGTGTGGATTACATTAAATTACATTGAGGTGTCAGGGATTGCTGTAGAGTCAAACACCTCCAGTCTCTTTCCACAAGCTCAGAATATTCCCTGGAACTTATTCCTACATTTCAAGTGGACTTAGCACTTGACCTGTTTCTATGAAGAAGAATCCTTTTTCCAATATGAGCACCTCTCCAGATTGCTGTTACATCCCTGCCCTTAGAGATGGCCTCTCAGACTAACATGGAAAATGGTCACCCAACTCTTGCCTGCTGCCAAAATGGTGGACTCACTGTGAAGGTCCTGGCCACTAGTACATGTGTCAGAAAGAGAGAGCCAGACCCTGAGGTAAAGGTTTGTGATTCTGTGACCTCACCTCCCACAAAATTGCAATTATCACTTCAACTGTAGCACCAATGACAGTGCACACTAGGGGAGTTAAACAGTTTATCCCAGTTTTCCCCTATCAGAAACAATTACACGTATCTAGTGAGCTTCTCCAAAAATAGTGTTAAAGAATTAGGGAGAGGCTTTTTCATTTTCCTGGGCTTCGAGAAAGATGGGTGTTTTCACGTGGAATTCACATAGGTGTGAGCCATAGGAACTCTCAGAAAAGTGTGTGTCAACTGGATCTGCAGCTTCCCTGAGAAGTTATTCAACATGAAATGTAATACTTCCCTAACTGAGACCCCCAGATCACATCTACAATATGGCAAAAGAAATGGGATGACTCAGACTGAGAATGATTTACTATGGAGGAAGAGTGAAAGGAAGAAGATGATGTCAAGAATTGATAGTTTAAAATGGTAGATGGCACATTCTGATATAAATGATAGGATAAACAAATAGTTGGGGGAGAAGACACAAATCTTCCATGCAGAAGAAATCCAAATAATTTACATAGATATTCTCTCAAGGAGGTGGAATATAACTCCCAACTTCACATATGTAGGCTGAACATAGTTATTTCTTTTGAGACAGTACAGTATGGAAGGAAGACAAAAGAGTAACTTTAAAATCGATAAACCCGATAAACCTGACCTTAGTCAGGCAATCAAGGTCAACATCCATGGTGGTAAATCATGTTTATGGTATTCACCCTCGATAGGATATGATGCAAGGAGCACTTTTCCTCTTTGATCTTTCTCTCCAAAATATCTAATGCCAGTCTAATCATAGGAAAAACTTTAAGACAAGTTATGATAGAGTGACATTCACTAGTAGCAGTAATAACAGTCCTGATGCACCTGACCAGTACTCAGAATTATCAGGGTCCTCCGAGAATGGAAAGAATGAGAAACTGTTAAAGCCAAGAGAAACCTAAGCAGGCATGATGGCTAAATGTAATTTAGTATCCTGGATGGATAAGGAAGAAAATAAGGACATTAGGTTGAGCCAAGAAAATCCTGATAAAGTATAAATTAGTTAATATTATATTAATAGTGTTTTAATAATTTTTTCAAAAGTACCATAGTAATGAGGTGTTAATAATAGTGGAAATGGTACAGAATATATGGGAACCCTGTACTATCTTTGAAGTGTTTTTTGCATAAATCTAAAACTATTCTAAAAATAATAATAATTAAGTTTTTTTTAAAACCTAAGTAATAATTTGCAGAATTCAATTAATATTAACTTGCAAACACAAATAAAATGGAAATTGTCTAGGAAAATATACTCAACCTATATGGACAGTAGTAGAGATAGAAAATCTAAACAGACCATGATAAGATGAAATGTGGTAAGACAACAACAATGAAATTCTAACAATCTTTTAAGTACATTTAAGTCAATGCTCCTTGAAATATTCGAAGATCATTGAAGAGATAGGAAGAGTTGAAAACAACTTTAAATAAAATATCGACAACAGGACCTTTTAAAAATTACTGCAAAAAAGTATTAAAGAGGGGCCGGCCCGGTGGCGCACTGGATAGTGCGCCGCTTGGGAAGCGCGGCGGCGCTCCCGCCCGAGGGTTCGGATCCCATATACAGACCGGTTCCCGCTCACTGGCTGAGCGAGGCGCGGGAGCAACACCGAGGGTTGCAGTCCCGTTGCCGGTCCCCGGTCCGGTACGGGGGCAACACTGAGGGTTGCGATCCGTTGCCGGACACGGAAAAAAGACAAAAGACAAAAAAAAAAAAAAAAAGTATTAAAGAAAATGTTTATGTGTGCATATACATAGGAAAATGTTATATAAAATATGATCAAACAGTTTGCAGTTGCTGATTAAAAATAATATATGATGAACAAATGTAATTTATACCAGGAATGCAGGTAAGATTTAATATTAGGGTATCCACTAATGCAGTTCATCCTAGATGCAGAGACAAAGAGAAAAATAGGATGGTCATATTTTTAAGTTCAAAAAGAACTACTGGCAGAATTTAACAAGGATTAAAAATATCTCACATACACAACATTTTTTTTAATTTAATTAATTAATTTATTTATTTATTTTTGTCTTTTTTGTGACCGGTAAGCAGCGCCGCACTCTCCCGAGTGCTCCACGGGGTCGGCCCTACACAACATATTTTTAAATAAAAGGCTCAAAAAAGAAGAATATTTATTTATTTATTTATTTTTGTCTTTTTTGTGACCGGTAAGCAGCGCCGCACTCTCCCAAGTGCTCCACGGGGTCGGCCCTACACAACATATTTTTAAATAAAAGGCTCAAAAAAGAAGAAACTAACCCCAAACTTAGGGGAAAAAATAATAATAAAGGAAAGAGCAGAAATAAATAAAGCATAGATCAGATAAACAATATCAAAAACATTCCTAGCACCTAGTGACACTGTCCCAATCATGACGTCACAGTGTCATGCATTATTTACATCTTTTGCAATGATGCTGGTGTTAATAGTGGTTTAATAATTGTAAAAAAGCACCATACTAACATGAGATGTTAATAATAGGAAATATGGGGGTGCAGGGTATATGGGAACTCTGTACTATCTTTGAAGTATTTTTTCCATTAATCTAAAACTATTTAACAAATATTGTTCATTATTTTTTAAAACCTAAAAAATAATTTGGAAAATTCAATGAATTTTGATT